AAACTTGAAACTTGAAACTTGAAACTTGAAACTTGAAACTTGAAACTTGAAACTTGAAACATACTTTGACCTTTCGTATATAAGTGCAAAATAGCCGAAGTTCAAATAGCCCAAAACCAAGGTAGTATCTTGAGAACACTAAAAACATTCATTTTCCCAGAAATGTCACTTAATCTACTAACTTTTTCCCATTGAAATTCCGCGGGCACTTGTTTTGTGTTGTGAAGGAGCTTCTTTCTTGCTTACCTATTTTCTCGTTCTGACGCATCGATCGTACACTGAATACATCCACGTAAGAAATACTAAATAAATCATAAGAATTCAAGAGATCATTGAAAGGTACTAAGATTGTCTTTGGAACTTCTGTGAACACATATCAGTACATTTTCCTTTTCTAGATTTACTTTTAGTCTAGTAGAGCAGCTTTTCATATAGCAGCTTTTCATATAGCTAGCTAGAATCTTGTAAGCCGAATTTATATGCAAATGACTGTATGTTAAAAGTGTTTAGTCGTTCTAGCGCTTTCGCACTAATTGGGGACACTTTTTGCTCACACGCACTACCACTACATTTAATATTCTTTGCACACAACGCTCAACTTACAGGTTGATTTTTACGGAGGGCGGAGGAAACCTGACCCGGAGAAAACCCTCGTAACATAGGAGAGAATAACACATATTCAAACAAACTCAATGGCACATGTTCACATGCTCATTTCTTAGTTCGGCTTCAAGAACGAGCCGATCACAGATATAAATACAAATGCTGTTCTTAGGCAAAAACTACATTGAAATCAAGGTAATTCTAAAGGTATAAAGCTCTGAATGTGGAAATTGGAAATTGGAAATTTCAACAATTAAATAAATTAAATCCGTCAGTACTTCATGTAGGTGATCATACGATTGATCCTTCTGTTAAAGTTAGGAGCTTGGGAACAATTTTTGATAATTCAATTAGTATGGATGCTCATATAAATCAAGTTTGTAAGGCTTCTTTCTATCATATTCACAATATTCGCAGGATTTCAAAATACCTTTCTCAGGATTGCCTTAAAACATTAGTCCATGCTTTCGTTACGACGTCCAGACTAGATTGTTGTAATAGCTTGCTGTATGGCCTTCCTAAATATATCAGATCACTAAGCTACAACGCGTACAAAACACACTGCTGGCAGATTAATTGCGAACACTAGAAAGTATGATCATATTACACCCGCTCTATATAACTGTATTTTAAAATTTTAATTATTACTTTTAAGGCTATATATAATATTTCGCCTAGCTATATTAGTAACTTAGTGYCTTTTAAGTCCTGTTCCGTTTATTCTCTCAGATCGAATAATTCATTATTTTTAGACCGTCCCAAGCGACGTATGCTTTCTACATTAGGGGCTCGTTCTTTTTATGCTGCTGCCCCCACATTGTGGAACAGCCTTCCTATGAATATTCGGGAAATCAGATCACTTGGCGTTTTTAAAAAAACAGCTTAAGACATATCTTTTTAATGTAGCTTACATTAGGTAATTTTTATCAATTCTAACATAGTTTTCTATTATAGTATGTTTTCCTTATACATATTATATTTATATACACATATCTATTTTTTCTTGTTACTTTTTTATAGTTATATCTCCCCACAAGTATTGTTTTTCATTCATAGTTTTACGGCGCATGCGTCTGCAATCAATCAAAACAGCGGTCATTATCACATAGCGCTAAATGAAATATTTGTTTGCAAATAGGATTTTTATGTTTCTTCTTGAAATTATTTTTGACTTGATCGTGATAACTTATTTTGTTACTATGACATTGTGGGATTACATAACAACAGCATACGAGGATTCATGATGGGGTGTCGCTCATTGTTAGATTGGGACCCCCTATGGTAGACATATAAATAGTACAAGCGTGGTAGCGTGCTTCAGTTTTGTCACCTACAGAAGCAGTTTATACCAAAAATTTTTTCCCTCCTCCAACCCCATCTCCACCGGTGGTATGCTTGTTATGGCCCTCACCTTTACTGTGGCCAGATGATTACATCTAAATTGTAATTATAAATTCTAGTTGGAATATTATTTATAGTAAATTAATTTTTATTAAAGTGGCTATGGGTTACGCCCATAGCCAATTACTCCAAAGATTTGTGTTGTCCATTGGTTGCCCAGTAAATGAGCTGCAGGAATAGCGATTTTCAATGCTTGTTAAGAGTATCTTGAATCAGGGAGAAAACATAAAATTAACTGAAAATTTAAACCTATCTGACCTATTTAAACTTATCTTATCGCTGAAGCCTAAAATTTGGTTGTAGACAAAGCCTTTTTTCAAGCAAACTTTTAGGTAGGGCGATTTTTGGGTCATTTCCAGCTTTGCTCGATCCTTACACGGACTGTCTCTTAAGAGGCAATGTCTATAAAAATCAAACATAATCAAAAATCGGTGGCCACGTCAAAAAAATTGATTTTCTTCATATTTGGTCCAAAGATCTGGAATACCACCCAAATAAATAATTAAACGTACTGATGTCCATTTTGAATAATTTCACTTTTATTTTGAGAAAATCGTGAAAATCGATTTTGGCCGTCGGCGCCCTCTATTCAGCCTAAATCCGAGGTGAAAATGGTAGGTCTGAGAAAAGCGCTCGCATATAAAAATGAAGCAAACTAGATAAGATCTGTTTTTGGAATATGGTAGAAGAAAGATTAATAATTATTTTAAGCTAAAATATAAATAGGGAAACGCGTTCTAATAAGTGAACAGGAACTTTTTACAAACTACATTTTTCAGGTTATCATGCAGATATTTATATTTCACCCTCAGTTTGCAAAGCGCATTTTCATGTGCACCGGGTGTTCGCATTTATCTGAAATTTCAGCCATAATGCCTTCGAATGTAAACCTAAATCATATGTAAAATCCAGCTTGGGTTATTCAATGAGCGCGCTCCATACGAAACTCTCGAATTCAGAGAAATTTGGGCTGTTGTTTTGGGGCTCCGCATCCGACGAAACTTATTCGAGGCAGACATAACTATGTCCTTACAAACATTTTCTTCCATTTTCTTGGTGTTCAGTTCTGACATTTGTATTGGTGTTATTATTTGTTGATTGAATATTGAGAGCAATAAATTGTATTTCTTTGCTCTTTTTCGACATTAGTTTAAAATGCTGTTACTTATAAATTACATTTTGAAACAAGCATGTAGATTTACGACATTTGGACTAAAAAACACCGGGAGACCCGAACTAAAAGATGAATTGCTTGATTATTGTTCATACCTAGTACTGAACTTCGGCTTCCATAATTTTTTGCTCGTAGTATACTTAGACAGTAATGCGTGAACTACCTTTGGTCCAACTGGATCTTCAGCAGAGACCGAATGACTGAGGTGTTTGGAAATTGTCTAATTTTGCATCAAAGTATTTTCTTTAGATTCATAAATTTCTTTTCGAGGAAGCCCAAGATCATTTTGAACAGCTCTTCTTTTTACTTATGGACCTAAGCTCCAGACTCCATTAAAAAAAAAACTTGGTTCAGTAATTATAATGAATTTCCATATAGTCTGAGCCGGGGCTTGAACCCGGACGACAGCGGTGAGAGGATGGGTGCTCCGGTTTCTTACCTCCGTAAAAATCGACATGTGAGTTAAGTGTTGTATGTAGTAGATATGAAAAGAAGTGGTGGTGTGTTGGAAGCGAATTCCTCGGAAGACCCCGGCCAGTACGAGGAGTGATGTTCGTAAGATGTAAATATAAACATGACTACACTTTGAGACGAAAAATGCCACTGCTGTGTCTGGTGGTTTTGGTGTCTATTCTCGAGAAATCCCTCAAGAAATCCCTCAGAAATCCCTCAGAAATCCCTCAGAAATCCCTCAGAAATCCCTCAGAAATCCCTCAAGAAATCCCTCAGAAATCCCTCAAGAAATCCCTCAGAAATCCCTCAGAAATCCCTCAAGAAATCCCTCAGAAATCCCTCAAGAAATCCCTCAGAAATCCCTCAGAAATCCCTTAGAAATCCCTCAAGAAATCCCTCCCTAAATAATAAATTAAATGGACGAGAACTACACTTTCATAATGCAAATACAATATTAGTGCCATTGGAATCTATTTCGTTAACATCTCAAATGACTACAATTCATAAATCTCATACTGCATAGCATGCTTAATCTTTAAATATCCAAAGGGCGAGGGACATTCTTTTATATCGATTTGGTCAAAGTTAGTTTATTTCCCACGTTTTACAGCCGCGTTACTCAAAAGTGATTCTTCTTCGCTAGATGATGGTACAGGCTTCTCTGGAAGAAGTKTCGGGAAATACGAATTCCAGAAGGCCATTCTGAGTGGATGGTATTTGCTGGTCATGAAAGGATTCGTCTGGATCTTCGAGTAAGCCTTCTTGGACGAGTCAAAGTTGTCCCATTTCAAACCATGCACACGTCTCGGGGTCGGGTTTCCAAATTTAGCAAAATTGGTAAACATGGTCACTACCATATCGCTGACTTTTTTATCTTTCTTGTCAAACTTTAGTTTTGTTTTGGARTTAAGAAGCGGRAGACCAAACTTGTAGGCTGTTGTATCTTCGTGAACGACCCCCATCCATTTCGGCTTTGGATGGTATCTAGAGCGATGAGCAAACTCAAACATGTAGGTAGGAGCACCATAATCACTATGGATGGTCAAGGCAGCATCGGTTGGAGCAATGAAAATGTGATCTGACCACATTTCTGTAAGCTTGTCACGGAACCGGGTAGGGTTGTTCAGGTCATCCCATGGTGTGTATTGAAATTTTAGAGCGTCATAAGCAACGTAGGTGTCATCTTTTTTACGACTGTATTCAATAGGCAGAAAGACATTATCCAGATATTCACCGAGACCTGTAGAATTGTATGTCGTATTGTAAAATGTTGAATACCATTTTACTACATAAGAACCTTCCTGACTGACAAAGCCTGACATTAAAGGAAGCTTATGGAACTTTCCTCTTTTTCTTAATGTTCTTGGCTCGTCTGGGAGAAAGTGTTGGTCAACAAACGGTAGGATCCACAAATATATCGAGTTTTCTAAGATAGTAGTGCTTGGAACTGATTTTAAGCACTGAAGTATTTGTCGGCTGCTAGATTTCGTACAGTTAAACACCCTGACTAATTTCTTGCTTTGTTCTAGGACCGTAGACTTTGGTTGGTAGGCGAAAGGGCACTGGTCCACACCACTCACTGCAATACCCCGATGAAACAGTCCTCTAGACAGGGGTGATAAGTAGTGTAAACCTACACTAGATCCTCCTGCACTTTCACCAAGGAGAGTCACGCTATTCTTGTCGCCACCAAAACCCTCGATGTTTCGTTGAACCCACTTGAGGGCCTCTACCTGGTCAAGAAGACCCACATTTCCAGGTGCCTCTGGGTCCCCAGTAGTGAAGAACCCAAATGATCCAAGTCGATACTGGATGGTGACAAGAACCACACCGCGTGTGGGCAAATACTCGCCTGGTGATATATCACGTGTAGGGGTACCTACGAAATAGCCTCCTCCGTGGATATAAAAGATAACTGGGAATTTCTTTTTACCTCTTGTGCTTTGAGTGTAGATGTTCAGGTACAGGCAATCTTCGCTCATATCTCTCTTTGGGTCAAATTCTGGCCAAGCTCCTCTTATCGAATTAAAGTAATATTTGCCCTGCATGCAAATTGGTCTTAGAAAAGTAGCATCATAATCACTTGATCTTCGAGTGGAAAGAGCTTGTGGAGGCTTGAAGCGAAGATCGCCAATGGGCTTCTCAACATAAGGAACGCCAAGGAACTTGTAGATGGTTTTCGTTTTTTGTCCCTTATTGGTTTGGATGTCTTGTCGTATTCCCCTGACATAACCCTGCTGGGTTAACACCCTTCTAAGTTTCCTTGTAGAGCCCTGTACAACATCATTGAAGAGATAAAGAGTTAGGAAAAGAACCACACGCTTGGACGAAACCAACATGATGGTATTCGAGTGACTGCGGGTGAACTGTACAATAGGAGCGGTAAGAACACACCCTTAAATACCAAGATGTCATTAATTACAAATGGTCTTAATGACCAGCTGTCTAGATGGTAAAGAAAATATTTATTCAACAATTTCAGAAAAAGGAAGTCAGTTTCCATTGCACTATAATTCACATAATTGGCATTTTATGGAGAATAAAGGAAAAAAATAATAACTGAGATTAACTAAAATGATGTGCTAGATAATARAAACGATAGAGAAAGTGTGTAAGATTGTTTTTTTTTTGGTTTTTAACTCCTTTGTAGTATAGACAGACGCGATATTTATTCAAAAAAGCTAAATCAAGCTAAAATACACAGTGAGTCCATAAGGAATTACATAGCAAAGTAGAGGCGCACGAAGGCAAACATCACTCACTAAATGTCTATTGATGTTCTTTGTTCACTTGTACTGTTGAGTCAATTACGGGTTTTTAAAGGTCTGTATAAAGTTTCTTCAAGCTAAAAGGATTTTTACTGAACAAGCATTCGTGCTGTAGGCCAAACTCCA